GAGCGGCACGGTTCCATGCTGTTTTAGTTCAGGCGTATTGCGCGTTGTTTCATAACAGACTTGCTGGTTTAGGACTCCAGTCAGCTTATGATGGGTCGTGACTGATGATCGTACTAAAATAATTTAAGGCTTCTGGAAACTCGGCAGCATGGGCTATTGCATGATATTTATATATCTGGGCTCTTCTGATCTTCTAGAAGTTATCAATAGACCCAATCGTTCAAGAAGTGAATCGGACAATCACCGCACGTGGCTCAATTGAAGGTTCTGTTCACACAACTCGCCCAACATGGTCACTCTATTCCAGGCATTTCTTCAGCTGCTGATTTCCAGCATTGCTCTAGCATCAGGTAGATCCCTTCGCCATCCATTTCATACGAGGCGATAACATACTAACGTAGTCCAAACAGCCAAGGACCTCCGCATCATGCCCCTTGGGGCCTCGATCACCTTTGGTGTTGGCTCAAGCCAGGGCAATGGCTACCGCGAGTTCCTCCGCGACTCGCTGCAGGGCGCCGGATACAAGGTCACCTACGTCGGTAGCCAGCACAACGGTCCCATGACCAACAACGACAATGACGGTTTCCCAGGTCTCCGTATAAGCCAGGTCCTAAACGACCACGCCAAGACGGACGTGCCCAAGTACAAGCCCAACCTCTACACCATCAACGTAGGCACCAACGATGCTGTTCAAAACTTCAAGATCGACGAGGCCGGCAACCGCATGGACGAGCTCCTCGACTTTCTTTGGACGACCACCCCCGACGCTAAGGTCGTTCTCTCCACCCTCGTCCGAAACAAGGACGCCAATACCGATGCCCGCGTCGTGAAGATTAACAAGCAGTTCGAGGACCTTGTCAACAGGCGCAAGAGCAATGGCAACAGTAAGATCGCGCTAGCCGACATGCATGGCTCCGATGGGCCTCAGGATGCTGATATCAACTCGGACGGAACACACCCGAATGACACTGGCTTCAAGAAGATGTCTAACATCTGGTTCGACGCCATTAAGAATGTGTCTGGGTCCGCCAAGAAGAGCAAGGCTTGCGATACAAAGAAGCGAAGCGAAGTGTAAAGATGTCTTAACACGACAAATTACGGGCTTCCCCCCCCCTTCTTTTGCACTTTACTTAGCCCTTTGTTGGCGTGACAGATATTCATTATGGGAGGCAAGCTCATTAATGAGCCTGCAATCGTCTCTTTTTATCCATCTGTTGTATGTTGTACTTTTTTACGCTTACATGAGCGGCAAGGCACCAAGTGTTAGACGTCAATCAACATGGAACCAACGTTTAAAATACGGAATATATTCATTAGCCAACGTGGCGGCGTTCTGTTTACCCATTCATGATGCATAACATGACAACTGATTGATAATTGATAAATTCTATGTAAACAAAATGATGCTCGCTCCCAAGCAATAACCATCCTAAACACTGGGCATAATTTGCAAAACATCGCTGGATTAAGCAAAAAGGGTTGGTCCTCCAACCTCTATACCAAAACTCCAACTCCTCACATCCCCTCCCGCCAACAGCTCACGAGCGGGCAACCGAGCCAAAGCAAGGCCCGATGGCAACACCACCCTGAGACAGCTGCAGCTCAAACAGGCGGATGAAGCTGATCATGGCGGCAAGCTCAAATACCTCGCCCAACTCGCCCGTAGCTCCCTCATTCATGAAGTGGAATTTGGCATTGTTAGCCTGTGGACGCATAGCGGCGAAGACAGCCACGATGGGCTTGCCATCACCTCCGACCACGGTCACTTTGCCATCGTGGCTGCTGTTGATGCTGCCACCCGCAGGGCCGTCGAGGCGAACCAGCTTCATCCCGTACTGGAAACCCCCGGCCAGGCTCCGGACCAATTCGCCGGTGCTCTGGCGCCACTCAAACGTCTCGGGGCGGTTGGCGGGGCCGACAGGGACTGTAAACTGGTACTTGTTCTTTGTGCCCACGGTGACATCAATATCCATGGGCTGGGTGAATGACCCGCCGAGACGAGGCTTGAGACGGAGCTGGGAGGCGCAGGTACTGCCACTCCGGATCTTGAGAGCGCCGGCAGATGCGAGGGGGGTATCGAGCTTATCAGTGCCGCTAAGGAGGAGGATGTCGCCGGTGCCCATGAGTAGGCGGGGCGTCTTGACCAGGAAGAGAGGTTCGTCTCTTTTGGCTCCGAGGTATGAGTGGGAATGCGATAGACGGTATGTGAAGATGCATTCGCGGGGGAAGAGGGCGGGGGTGCCCTGTGCAGAGATGGCGGCGTGGGCAGGCTTGGTTTGTACCTCCTCGTAGGCGGGGGGTGAGTGCTCCTGAGGAGGCACATAGCTGCTGAGGAGGGCCTTTTCTGACATGCTGGTGTTCATTGTTGTGGCTGAGAGTTGGCTATGGGTTCTTGTAAGACGTGGATGGTAGTAAATGATGGCTGTCTTCCAGTGTTCGATCTTGTTATGTTGATGAATTGAATTATGATGGGAGTTAAAACAATGCAAGCCCAGGCTAGGATTCAGACTACTTAAATACCTTTCGAGGCCCGGAATGCCCATGACAGGATCGGCACAGCCCTGCGGCCTCTGAGGGCATCGTCACCACCAAATCTGAGGTACTGTCCCGTTGACTCTTGCTCGCTGGCTTCTTATTGGCAGCCCTAAACGAGGGCAGTGCACTAACTCCACTGTAAATTCAGGCGCGTTCAGTGGTTCCTCGACCTCAAGAACGGTCGCACTCAGCTTTGATTGGCTGATGTTTTCAAGATTGTGCGAGCCGGCCAATCAGAGCTCTATCTTTGAACTTGAAGACAACGCCGCCTCGCATCTGCCAAAATTAACACGCGCTGCCCCCAGGCCTGTCTAAAAATTCGGTGTGCCGCAGCCACCCTTCATCTCCCCGCCCTTGGGACTCATGGCAGGCAGGTGCGAACGCGCCTTGCAATAAAACAAGAATTATAATGTCAAAAGACTGCCTGCGCCCGGCCAAGTGGGTGTCAGACCTGAATAGCACATGCGGCATGGCTCGCAATGTCACGCCCGCCAACGCGAGGCATTCTTTAGCAGCATGCTACTGCGTGTTCACTTCCATTTCTGGCAAGATCTGTTTCATTACACCGAAACACATCCCCATCGCTTTTGCCGATGGTTCGTCCCGTTTATCATTCGTCTGTATTAATCAAGGGCAAAAGATACAGTACGAACATTGTTTTTTATCAAAAAGGAAATGCCATTCGGTGAATGGCAAAAGAAGTGACAAGAGTGGGATTCGAACCCACGCTCTTTCGAACTGCGAAGAAACATTCTCCTGAACACAGCGCCTTAGACCACTCGGCCATCTTGCCTTGATTGGTTGAGGTCTGGTGGGAGGAAGAGACTCTAAGAGGGGCTGCGAATATCGGAGTGGCCAGCCAACCGCCAACACGACGAGAACTTTGAAGCTTTGCACGACTTCAGGCAAGAAATTGATTCGATTTCTTCTGAGTCAACGCTAATAATGACAACTTAGATGCCAGGACAGGAAAAAGGCACCCATGCAACGCCATGTTTGAAACGCCATATTTGATCGTGACTTGTTAAACGCTCCGGACGAAGTGATCATGAAATTTCAGCCAAACAGTAGCTCATGCGCATGGACAAACTTCCGTCAGCAAATAAAATTTTGTCCCTACATTCCAATTTGACTAGGTGCATTTTAAACTCGATCTTATGAGTGCTACATTCTCCCTGTGCTGTTACAGAGGTGGACTATATATATAGGGTAGGTAGGTATAAGTGGTAGACGTTAATGGTGATAGAAGCTGAGACTGTTCCCTAGCAACAATATTCAACTAAGTTTTCATTTTAATCTATTGGAAGATGCCTAGCAAGGTAAAGACTAATCGGAAATCTAATTCGCTCTCAGGCGTGTTTCTCCGTCATGGCTGGATTAACAGTTCTTGTATTTGTTTTAATCCAAAAAACCGAGAGATATTTTTTCAATGTATTCACCTAAAATTTAAACAATTTGCGACTAGCTCACTATAGAACCTCTTTTACATCTTCCACAGAGTCCGGGTATCCGTAAAAACGCTGAAACCAGCAGTTCTCTAAAACATCCCACCTTCCAGGAAGAAGTATTCCAGTATTCTTTTAGTAGTCTTATGTATAAAAAGGTCTATGCCTATTCAGTTTTTTAAGCCTGCCGTTTTCTGAAGATATCTCTAAATTTAGGTAAGACTATTGTCAGGATTTGACCTAAGCTGTTCAATGGGAATAGTAAAGTGTCACGAGAAGCCAGTTTACTACTAGGACTTCGTTGATAGAACATTAGAAGCTTCTCGAATAGCAATGCCGGAACCGTCAAAATAGACTCGCATAGAACCCTCGCAATAATGAAAGATAAGGTCCGCCCCCTAATTCAGCTTGATAAGTTTTCCACAATCAATTCCTCGCATCTCTCAAGTGCCGCCCTTGGATATGCTTCCATGTAATTGTTGAATTGGAATCCACCCGATTGCCTTCTATTACCACGGTCCCCGACCCGTTGTTTGAGATTCATGCGTAGTTCCTTGGATTTTTTATTCATCTGAGAATCCTGTACTCTTGGGAAACAACATTTGGTGAGTTTCGCCCATTGTGTCAGCGATTGGTGGATCGAAAGTTCCTCCTCCAAACTTGGAAAAATAGAGAGTTAGGACACAGAGACGTCCTGAGAAATGATTTACAATTTGCTATCCTAGCTCTTCATTTTTTCTCTTTCTATAATCCTTGGATATGTGTCCTCCATTGTGCAAAAGGCGCATGGCAGCCCGTTGCGTACTTCCAGTACAACGTAGTGAAACTGGCCCAGCACTCTTCAATCAGTTACTGTAGAATCTTGGTGGAAATAATGCGAGTCATTTTTGGTCTTGACACGTTTGGTGCCGGTTGCAGTTGGGACGGAATTTTCACAACTTCCACCTTCGCTGTAGGAAATCGGTCTCTGCCTGCTTCCGCCGATATCAACGACAAAATGCGCAGGGATCACATCGACAAGGCAAGATGGCCGAGTGGTCTAAGGCGCTGTGTTCAGGAGAATGTTTCTTCGCAGTTCGAAAGAGCGTGGGTTCGAATCCCACTCTTGTCAATCATCTTTTGCTGTTTTTTTACACCTGCTTCATTCTGGGCCTAGCCTCCCAGACGAGGCCGTTTACCCGCAGCCCCGTCCAACGTCGAGGCAAGATGGCCGAGCGGTCTAAGGCGCTGTGTGTTAGTAATTATCCCATTCCGAACACACCATCAGTTGGCTAACAACCAATACAGTCAGGAGAATGTCTCTTCGCAGTCCGAAAGGGCGTGGGTTCGAATCCCACTCTTGTCAGTTCTTTTGCTATTTTTGCTGTTGGTAACTGCATAAATCACCGGCTGAGTCGGCATCTGAGTCGGGTTGCTTTTTGCTAGTGCAGATTGCTTCTTATTGCGGATGTAATTGCCATCTATCTGTATTCGAATTTGATAGAGAAAAAACCAATCTTCCCCTCATAAGACGATTGAAGACATACTCACACACTGGGTTGATAACTTGTTTTGAACTCCCAGGCATAGGCATACGTACCATCATCTTGGCGAATGGCCTTTGTTGCTGCTCGCACGATGCATGAAAGTGTATGCTTGCATATATGATAGGGATTTCGGGATGCTTGAGGGCCTACCTTAGCGCTTATCGGCCTGTAGGATTCAAGTATATATATATATTTATTTCTTAAATAGAAATACTTTCTTAAATAGTTATTAATATAATTATTACTACTTTTATTAAAATTAACTTCTTAATACTTATATATTAATAATAACTTATATAATACTAAGATAATCTAATTATTCTCTTAAAATAATACTTTAATTAGTTTTACCTTAACTTACTTTAGACCTCTATTTAATATAAGTTAATTAACTATTATATATTAATAACTCTTATTTAAATAATTACCTTATTTTAATTACTATATAATAAATAAAAGATATTATAATTACTATAGTTCCTCTTACTTACTAAAATAATATACTTATTATTATTACTAATTAAGCTATTATTATAGATACTATAAATAAAAATAGTAATAATAATAATAATAAAGAGGATAATAATATTAACTTAAAAGTTTAATTTCTTTATAAATAGATTATTTAACTTTAAGCTTACCTTATTAAACTTTAAGGAAACCTAATTATTATAATAAACTTAATAAAATAATAAGCTACTATAAATACTAATCTTTAAGCTTAAGTTATTACTATTACCTAAGGAAGAGAGCTAGGATAATTACTTAAGCTATTAGTATTTAAGCTATTTAATAGAACTTAAGTTAAACTATAAGGGTTTATTACTTAACTTAAGGTATACTTTAACTATTTCCTTATTATACTTAATAATAATATAAAAAAGATTACTTATATATACTTATACCTTATAGGAATTATACTTAATTAATTTAAGCTTATTATAAAGGAATATTTTAGTAAAAGTAATACTTAATAAACTATAGATATTATAATAAACTTTAAATATTTTATAGAAACTCTTTAGTAAACCTTTAGAATTTAAAATAAGAAATAAAAGTTAAAATATAATATTAATTAACTTACTTAAATAAGATTAACCTTAACCTTTAGTACTAAATATTTATAGTTATTAATAAAAACTAAATAGGACTAAGAGTATACTATATTTTATTACTTTAATAAGCTTAAGAAAGAAGTTTAAGAAGAACTTTATAAAAAGGATAAGTTAATAAGTATTTATAAATATATAACTATAGCTATAAGAATTAATAATTAATAATATTAATAATAAACTTATAAATAATAATTAATAGTTTATATTAATATTAAAAGATCTTAATAAGAGTATAAACTAAGAATTATAATCTTTAGGATATATATTAATCCTATAAAGCTAAGAGCTATAGAAAAATATAAGTATTTTAATTATAATAAGATTAAGTATATTACTACTTATTATAAGAAACTAAAAAAGGATAAAAAGGACTAAAAGCTTATACTTAAAGGAAAGAAATAACTTAGAGTAATTAGAAAAAGTAATACTAAGACCTTAGAGATAGTTTAAAAGAAAGAATACTTAGAGGATACTATTTATATCTCTATATTCTCTATATAACTTATATCTATCTTCTATAAGATAGTAAATAAGGAAGATAAATAGGAAGTTAATATTATATAAGAATAATAATAATAAATTAAAGGAATATTTTAAAAGTTAAAAGAGAAACTTAAAAAAGGAGAAATCTTAAGCTATAAACTACCTATAACTTATAAATATATATTCCTTTATAAAAATAGATTTATATTATTAAACCTAAAAAAAAAGATATTATATTTATAAGTAAGAAATATAATTTAGATAAAATATAAGGAAATCTATATTTACTATTAATAAAAGATAAGAGAATAAGACCTTAATATATTAAATATATTAATACTTTATAGTAAAATAATTAAATATATAATAAAGTACTAAAACCTTATTTATAATATATTAACTTATTTAAAGATAAAGTATAATAAGAATTATAATAAAGAATTATAGATATTATACTATAGTATTAATTATAGAATATATTAGAAAAAGAAAGTAAAAAATAACTTCTTTTTATAGGTAGATAGAACTATACTTACTATATATATTAAAGAATAAGTATAATACTTTTCCTATTTATAATATTAAGTAGATTAATATATTATTTTTAAAGAAGACTTAGAAGAATACCTTACTAAGTATAATATTAAGGAGGTACTAATTAATTTATATTATAAACCTTAATATAAAATCTATAAGGAATCTAAGATTAAATAATAATATAAGGAAAAGGAATATAAAGATTATATAATATATATATATAATAATAGAATTAAGTAATATTAAGACTAAAAGTATAAAAATTACTTAAATAGTAAGTAGATTATATTTAATTTAGTAAAAGATAGAGATAATAATCTTAATATAGCTAAACTATATCTCTAATAATATTAAGTATAAGAGGAAGAGCTATAATAATACTATAAATAAGGTATATTATCTTTAATAAATAATAGAGATAATAGTAAGATAGAAGAATAAAGTATTACCTCTATAGATAAATAGGAATAAATTAAGAACTATCCTAATATAAAAGTAATAACTCTTAATAAATAAGTTAATTAAGTAAAAAATAATAATAACTATTTATAAAAAGGCTATTATTTGTTTTTTCTTACTATAAATAAGGGTTATTTAGTCCTAAGATTAAGCTATATATATAACTATTATATATAGTTTTTAAAATATAATTTATAGCTTATACTTAAACCTTTAATACTATAAAAACTTAAATATTTATATATTTAGCTTAAATATAAGTATTAATATTTTATTAAAAACTTTAATAAAGGCTAGTTAATATATAAGTTAACTATAGCTTTAAAAGGGGATACTTATTACTAACTATAACTACTTTCCTATATAGTAATAATAATAATAATAATAGTAATAATAATAATAAGATATTATTATTTAATACTTATATCCCTATTAATAAGAGCTTAGTTATTAAAGTAAATAATAAGCTCTTAGAAGATATATTACTTTTAATTATAAATAACCTAAGAGAGCTATACTTAATATATATAAAATCCTTAAGCTTATATTTAATTAGAGAGCTTCTTATAGTAATAAAGCTATTAATAATAGAGTAAATCTAATAACTATATCTACTAGGTTTATCTCTATATTATAATAACTAGATAGATAAAATACTCCTTAGGGATATAGAAGACCTTAATAGGCCTAGCCTTAGTAATAACTACTTTATTATATATACCTATTATAACTTAGTATTTAATTATTAATTCTAGTATATTATATACTATATTAAATTAATCTAGGTAGAGGTAGCTCTTATTTAAGTTTTAATATAATAGATTAATTTAGATTTAAGCTTACTTAATATAATATAGTAGAAAAGCTTTTAAGAAAGGTTATTATATTTAAGGTTTATAATATCTACTAAAAAAGTTAAATCTATAAGGTTAGATTAATTAATTATATTTATAAGTATAATATAGTATTTATTATAATAAAATCTTTATTATTAATATATAGCTTAATTAATTTCTAATACCTAGTAATTTATATAGTTATATATTATATAGTAATAAAAAGGCTATAGTATAATATAATAATAATTAGTTAAAGGACTTTAGGAGCTATTAAAATAGAAAGCTTATATAATATTATTATTAATATTAAGATTAAAGGGAACTAGCTTATAGCTATAGTAGATTATAAAGTATAGGAAAATTATATCTTATTAATAGTAATTAACTAATACCTACTATTATAAAAGGGAAAGAAGAAACCTTATAATATTATTAATATTAAAGGAATAAAGTTTAAGTATAATAATAGGATTATTAATTATAAAACTAATTATCTTATAATTAAGATTAATAAAAAAAACTTTAATATTACTTATAATATTATATAAATTAATACCTATAATATTATACTAGGTATTCTATAATTAAGAGATATAAACTTACTAATTAATTAATATACTAACTATATAGAGTAAAGGGATACTCTTATATATTAACCTTAAGATTAAAGGAAATTAAAATTTTATTAAATACTAAAAGAGTATAATAACTCTTTAATAACTAAAGGTACTACTATAAAAATAAGAGATAATAACTTAATATAGTAAGTAGATATAGTAATTATAGCTTTAATAGTATTATAACTTAGTATAATAAAGAAAATATCTTATTAAGAATTATAATATATAATAAGAATATTAACCTAAATATAGAAGTAGGAAATAGAACTTATACCTAAATTTAAAAGTTAGTATTATAAAAATAAAGAGAAGTAATAATAAAAAGAAGTAATACTTATAAATATTAATAAAAAATATAATAAAATAAACTTTATAAATTAAGTATAAATAATTAACTCTTAGAGAAGGGAGTATAATATAAAAAACTATTTATAAAACTAAAAAACCTATAATAAATAAATAATAAAAATAATATTAGAGGATAAATAAATAGACTATATACCTTAAGAATATTATATTTATAAAAAGCTATTTAAAGAGACTCTTAATATTAAGCTATTAAAGTATAGCTAGTAGGACTATAAGATCTTTATTATTAATAAAGGAGAACTAGCTTTTTATAAGCTATATAACCTTATAAAACCTTAACTATAAATACTCTATAAATATATTAATAATATATTAGTAAAAAGCTATATATAATTATTAACTTTATTTATAAGTTACTTTATAATATTTATATTAAAGAAGAATAAGAAACTATAAT